CTCTTCAAAGGCCCCTCATAGTCCTGGCTCAATATAATGACTCCCATCTCGGGATAAACTTTCCCCAACATGGCAATGATTTACATCTAAAACAACAGCCTTATCTGCTGCTCATGGCTGCTGCTGGAGGAGATGGCATCCTTTTTCCCAGCCATACCCTGAAGGAAGAATACACACACATCTGTTATTGACCTGCAAGCTGGCTAATGAGGAGTGGGCGCTGGACATGTATTTCGACACTGGAACAAGCAAGTGTGTGTGTCAGTGTCTGTGAGTGAATGCTGCAGCAACTCTCCTGCTCGTAGTGAAGTTAGGCTGCCTCCCATATGGCCGAGTTTTAACGTCCCACAGTGTAAGGCTTCTGTTGTTGTTATCGAGAGTATAATGGTACATGACAAAGCCGCACAGCGTGTTGCACTGATGTCTCCATCAATCAATGCCTCGTGCTGCAGGCTTTTTTTTCTTCACGAAACTGTGTCTCAGGGCTTCTTAACATTTAACAACCTATTAATGTGTCATACCCACTTAACGGGAAGAAACGGTGGGTTACGTATTGTAACCCTAGTTATATAAGCACAGGCGGAGCCCTCTACTGGACTCTATGGATACTACCTCTCAACCATACTATGTGAGCATTCATCAACTGAGATATCTATAACCGTAGCCGGCCCCCTGGGGCGGGCCTACCTGAATGCGTGCGCAAGCCCACCGTATATAAGGCGGCCTCGCCTCCTGACTGTCATCCTACACTTCTTTTCAGCGAGCAGCATAGGACAGACAGGGCCCCGAGTAGAGGGCTCCGTCTGTGCTTATATAACTAGGATTACAATATGTAACCCACCGTTATATCTCACACAGGAGCCCTGATGCTTAAACGCCCTATCGTCCAACAACATCGAGTCACCACACTGCCCCTGACCGGGGCATCAGATACCTGCTGACCCACAGCCTCTCACCAGTCCTGTGTTGCCTCAGCAAGCACATATGATGGAGACAGACATGTCCAAGAGCTTTACCGGCCACACCGCCCCCAAAGCACACACACAGTTGTTCAGTGCGCCTAGTGGCAGCCGTGCGCTCCAAGTAACATGCTAGCGTACGCACCGGGCAGAGGAGGTGCAATTTAGCCTCCTTGGCCCCACTATGGGGTGGAACATTAAAGCCTCCTAACTGAATAGCCCTTGACCTGAACGAGCTCCTTAGATTATTGGGAACAAAGGAGGGGTTCGGTCTGAGTGTCGCCCTGCTACGGTCACCCCAGATCACTAAGCAACTTGGGTGCACCGACAGAGCGGTCAGCTCCGACACTCTCTTGGCCGAAGTTAAGGCAAGTAGCAACGCTGTCTTCCATGACAGTGCTTTCAGGGAGGAGAACTCCAGAGGCTCAAATGGTTCTGTGACCAGAGCCTCGAGCACCAACGGCAGGTCCCACTGCGGGGCGGAGGCGTGCACTACTGGGTGCTGCCTCCTGACCCCCTGCAAAAACGAGTCACCTGGCTGCACCAGTCCCATCAACTGTTTTACAGTTGACATATGGAATTTTCTGCATGCAATGTGGAGATTCAGGCTGAGAAGATCCAAAATGGGCATGAATTCTCCTGTCTTCTTTGGAACCAGGAAGTACAGGGAATAGTGACCTTCCTCTCTGTCTTGAGAGCGCACTGGGTGTTTCTCAATCTCGAGGATGCTGGCTTGGTAGTCGCGTACTTCCAAGTCACTTCCTTCAGAAACGAAGCAAGTATGCTTCCAAGCCACGGCTTCGGAAAACGAAGAAGAATGTAACAGGCTAACAAGTGTGTGCTGCGTCGGTTCAGCCATTCTCCGCAAGGGTTTTTGAAATTGGTCCGTGCGCAAAGCATTGTGGGGATTTTAAGGACGCGAAGTGTACCCATGTGCAGCCTCGAAATTTCCTCCAAACCAAGGACGCGGTCCCGGTGGAATTCCAAGTCTGCTGGAGATTGGAACAGTCCTTCGGCGGCACTCGATGACGTGCATCCTTCAAATATTGGCTTGGAAGCCAGAATCCTCAAGATTGAGAAACAGCCACGTCTCAGCGTCCTGTCCATCCATTACATGTTACTTGTTAGACGTTTTTATCCAAAGCGACTTACATACTCAATACTGTGGGCAATCCCCACAGGAACAATTTGGGGTGAAGTGTCTTGCCCAGGGACACAATGACATGCTGACTGCAGTGGGGTATGAACCTGTGCTCCCCTGATCCAAACTCCAACGCTCTATCCACTGCGCCACACGCCTCCTACATTCATCCATCCACTCTGTTAATACACAGCTGTGCTTCCATTCCCCATAACACTGCGTTAGGGGATGTGCAATCAGCTGCGGGCTTGCGCATTACCTAACTGGGCCGGCTACGGTTATAGATATCTCAGTTGATGAATGCTCACATGGTATGGATGAGAGGTAGTACCCATATAGTTCAGTAAAGGGCGGAGCCTGTGCAGGGGTAGACATTAAGGGTATTAAGGGCAGGTGGAATTGTATTATCACTGGCCCCACCATTGTAACCACTGGCCCGGAGCATTCGTCCAAAAAAAATCGACTAATAATGAAGAAAATGAACACTTGTTGCAATAGTAATGTATGCACTAACTACATTACTACTTGTACTACAACATTTGAACAATCAGTTCTTCCTCATTTTCCTCAATTGTTCATATTTGGTTTATTAAAATAATGATATTGTGGTCATTGTTAAAAAATGTCTGCTATTATGAGTATTATTATTTGTATAATGCACTTTCTGCCTTCCTGTCATTAGGAGTTAGAAATGTAATGGCTATGGATTAGATCCTTCATTTTCCTAAACTGCTGGGACATTTCCCTATAGCCAATACCTTTTATATGTTCAACTCTTCACTTACTTGTCAGCATAGGTCGGCATTGATGTACAGAGCCGACAGAAGACCTTGTTTATATTGGCATCATAGAGAGGTGCAGCCAGTGACGCGTCATAAATCCAGGAAGTAAGCTGCTGGTTCCCTCGACAAAAAGCAATGGGATTTCTCCACAGGGTTTTGGAAAATAGCTGTAAATAAGGTCTGTGGAAAACAAACCTGTTTGATAAATGCACGTTTTGTTCAGCCGGATAATCTCCACATGTCTACCCTACTTTTATAATTTTCTAATCATAAATCTAATCGATAGATTATAAAAGGGTTTTAGGATGCGTCACTGCACCAAGAAGCCAACTCCATCGATCAAGCTGGCTGAAACTTTCTCTCCCTCTTCTTCTCATGCTCCCTGTCACTCTCCTTTAACTCCTCCGGTGACTTTCTTTTATTTGAAGATTGTTTTTTGCCCGGTGCTTGGCCGGTTACCGCTGGTATTAAAAACATTTTGGCGAATGGTTAGGTGGCGTGATAGTCTGTAGTGAAGGAGCGCGCTCACGGGAGCCTGCTCGCGCTGCGCTCCGCAGCAAACAGCCGTTTGCTTTTCACCCAACAAAGACAAGCGACTCACGAAACGCTATGTTGTAGCGTTAATAAACGAAACAATTTAACAAAATTGCTAGTCAAAATACCAATACCACAGGAAACATTTTTTTTTAAACAATATTTTTAGTGGCCCGAGCAGGCAAGTGGAAAGTGTCTAAATAGTGCTTCCGGGCCAGTGGGCCATTTATAATGTCGAGCCCTGCTGTGTGAGATATAACTCAGCTAACTGACGATATGAACCATTTTTAGTTAAATGAAACACAACTCTAACGCCAAGCCTCTGAATTAGCACTAAGCGAAAAATTGCTGACGCACTTAGCACAGAACTCACGGTAGAAATACTTTCTTACTTATTGTATCTGCACAAACAAGATATCAGCTAGCAAGCTGAGATTCCACAGATTCTAGGGGTATAAGTATCATCACTGAGCGATCAAAACCTGCGGCAGGGGAAGCAAACCCAGCCATCACACAAAGTAGCTTTACGGAAAATAAGTCTTATCCTTTTGCTGTTTTCTGATCAAAAGTTGTGTTCAATGGCATTACAATGCATAAAACGCTGCTGAAGGTTAATCCAATGTCTCCTTCACTTTGAAATTATTACTGATAATCCATCATTCAATTTTTGTCAAAAACTGAGATTTTCATATTAGCTGTTATTAGCACTATTAGAGCTACAACCCAGCTGCCGGTTTTGGGCACACACCACTCATTCACCAATGGGTGATGTTTATGTAGCTGGCGCTAATGTTTTTATGGATTAGCTGTCAGATAATTTGTGTACGTGGCTGGGCAGCCGTTGAGCAGCCATTGCCCCTTTAAGACACACCCCCCTTCTTTAGTCAGCTAGCCTTTCCATATAAGGAAAACACTGCAGCTGTACGTAGTCAACATCTCCCACTACACTTTAAATGCCCACTGGTACCTCATCCAAATCAGCTATGACTATTACGAGTGCTGGGACCGGAACTGAAGCCGGGACCATGGCCGTGTGGGCCGGCACTGGAGCCGGAAACATGGCTGCTGGGTCCCAGGAAGGGGTTCGAGGCTTGAGACAGGCAATCAGGACTACTTGTAAAAACCTTAAGCCACTCGGGCAACAAGCTCCAGATCCACCTCCATGCATGCCTCCTTCAGGGCAGCCTCCTCGGCCGCTCTTGAAGACACTCTCATCCACTTATACTCAAGAGTTTACATCAGTGGATCCAACTCTTGAGGGGAAAAAACTGCTCGGTCCATACTGGTCTGTTCGTACTGTCAGGTTTGGGGAAAATAGGACCCAAGTGCAGTTTAAAAAAAGACTAAAAAAGGTAAGGTAACAAAAGGCAAGCTTTATTTATAAAAAGCCGAAGACAAGAAAAACAAGAAACTAATTAACAAAAACAAAACCGGGGAGGATGACAGACAGGAACAAACGTACAGGCGGGAACAGGCAGGAGACATGGACAAGCATAGACGACAGGTAGCAGGGACATGAAACGACGACGAACAGACATGGAGCACAGGGGAAGACAAGACTAAATACACAGAAGGGTAATCACAGGACAAGACACAGCTGGGCAGGGGAGGCAGAAACATAATCAGACACACCAGGAAAACTAACGACAGGAAGGCAAACACAGGGGCCGTTTCTCAATCTCGAGGATACTGGCTTCCAAGCCAACATGCTACGTCATCGCGTGCCGCCGAAGGACTGTTCCAATCTCCAGCATACTTGGAATTCCACGAGGCCGCGTCCTTGGTTTGGGGGAAATGTTGAGGCTGCACATGGTGTTGGAGTCAGAGCGGTCTAAAAGCTTGGTGAGCTGGGTAAAATCATAAAAGGAAGGAATTAAAATACACCAGGATACAAGTTAAACAATATTCTGTTTTAATGACAAAAGGCACAATACAATTTACAGAGTACTCTGGGCTCAATTCCACTACCGTGCTACACCGAGACGGTCAGTCAGAAAGGGCGCCGAGCATCAAAATATCATATTATTTATACACACAAGTGGGGAGTAGTTGTGTTGGTTCCTCCTCCCTAGCTATTTGTTATTGGCGATTTCACTTCTGAGCGAGCTAGCCAGTGAGTTGGCAGTTTTCCATTGGCCAGTTTCACTTCTGGGCGGACCCAAGACAATGCGTCAGCAGCCGTTGATTCCGTCTGATTCGCTCCCTCTCCTTACAGTGTGTGTGTGTGTCTAAATAAGGATGTGTCCTGCCATGCAAACTGGTCCTACTTCATACAGAGTAATTAAGCACACACATATATTTAAGCCAATTACTCCAAAATGTTGTGGCAATTTAGCACGCACGACATTCTCTAACCTCGAAGTCAGCTCACTTAACAGGAATACATGTATTGATACATTCAGAACGACCATTATCCCATGGCCTCTCTAGGAGTCTTGCAGGATATGAATTATCCAATAACTAACGTCTGCACAGGAGCGCACATACATTTCCCCCTATGCAGCTACGCACCAACATTGTTATCGTTTCTTAGCTAATACATGCTGGATATGAACCACTAATCAACAAGGCTTTAATTGTATTAGGTCTGAGGAAGCTCCTCTCTTGGAGTTCCTCTGACCTCTTACCAATTCAATTAACATGGGTACATCTGCTGTCAATTTGCAAAGACCATTGATAATTAGCAAAGAGACTCCCATGCCTCTTCTACTGACTTTCTGAAAAATACTCATCCACGGGTAATCTTTTTACTCTAGGCAGAAATCACCGGCTGTACTGCACCATTACCTACTCACAAATAGCCAAAAAACCACCTTCTGTTTATTAACAAGTCAAGTGGAAGAAAAGACCATTTGCGCTAAATCTACTTCTACTAAAAATGGGACATCATTATAGGAACATCAATATAAAAAACCTCTATATTTAAGAGGAAAAAATTGACTTGTCCATCCAAGTTTTAACACACATGAATATATATAAAAACACACATATATTAGATGACATTAAAAATGAATATACCAGAAATACGATATACTAAACTTTCTGCTTAATACGTTATTTTAATACTTCAATGGGTAGACTTTGCGTCCTTAAAATCCCCACAATACTTTGCGCACGGACCAATTTCAAAAACCCTTGCGGAGAATGGCTGAACCGACGCAGCACACATTTAAATGTAAGTATGTAGTGGCGTAGAACATGTGTTGGTAAATATGTTACTTTGTTACATTTGTTTGTTATCACCAAAAATGTGTTCCGTGAAAGTAAAGCAAGTTCATAATTAGATAGACATCGTGAGGTATTTATTTTCGGTACAGTTTATGTTGAAACTGTTAGAGAGAGTGGCACACTTGTTAGCCTGTTCCATTCTTCTTCGTTTTCCGAAGCCGTGGCTTGGAAGCGTTTCTGAAGGAAGTGACTAGGAAGTACCAAGCCAGCATCCTTGCGATTGAGAAACGGCCAGGGAGTAGGATCAGACAACACACAAGGAGGAAAACAGTTCAAAATGAAAACATAAATCCAAAACCATGACGAGCTTTATGGAGCAAATGGGGCAAATTTGTCTTACCTTTTGCTGTTTCTGATTAACAGTTGTGTTCAATGGCATTAAAACGATAGAAACGCTGCTGAAGGTTAATCCATAGATTAAGAAGAGGTGTTATCACTGCTACTGTTCTGCCCTCACTGTCGTTATGAGTACAGATATGCAGACAGATAACTCCTCGACAAGTGGCAAGCGTTTATCTTCTTTAATAAGATGTTTACATCCACAAGTCAACAGAGTAAAACTGAAAGAAACACAATATACATTGAAATTAGACACTTAGCTGTGATGCAGAAATATATAATACAACGGTTAATTACGTCACTCACAAACATCACAAAATATGCATATCAAATGTTTACATGCAAAAATGCTGTGTAATACACACTACAAAACATGTGCTAACCATACATCAAACATCAATGAATAGCAATCTACTTAAACATTGAAACCTCAAAATAATCGTTGATATCCTCTTAAGAATACGTACAAAAGCCAAAAATACTTACAAGCAATGCTTTCAACAACATAGCAAAGAAGGATGGATGCAGATTCAAACAATGATATTTCTCCTCTCTGTCCCTTTCAACTACGACCATGGATGTATAATAAGAACTGGATACAGCGTGGGAGACGGGCCTCATTAATTCCTATGAGAGTTGCTCATTAGCGCATGATGACAAAATGGCCCAACTTTTGAGAGAGTGAAACGTCACAGATTACCCGGCATGCCTGAGAAGTACCCGTATGTGCGCTCATAGCGCATGCGCAACTTTAACCAAAATGCTCGTTCACATCAAGCACGTCAATTTGCGTACACGTAACTGCACCGCGCGTTCATGACAGCATGGTAATGGATTGTTATGATGGATTTCATATTAACGAGGCGGCAGTTAGCAGCTAGCGGCTAGCTAGTAATTATGCTAATGTAAACATCAATCGTTATGTACTTATATTACGCTGTAACAGGATCTAGTGATATCCAACAGAGCTTCATTTAGCATGAAAGACTTATTGCACTGTGTATATATATATATATATATATATATATATATATATATATATATATTTATACACAGTGCAATAAGCTTCTTAGTGCAATAAGAAGCTACAGGGACGTTAATCTACGTCGGTAATATTAACTTTATTTAATACAACATTTACATCATACAGCCCATGTAGCAGGTTATAATATTTTACAAATGATGAATTACAGCAAACATGTGCAATATCCATTATTACAGCTCCGTGGGCTGGCAGTAAGGCGATATGGTCCGTTCTTATTTTGCATCCATGGCTAAAGATAAACGCATGTAGTGCTGAACACGTAACATGAACGTGCCGGGCGGCGCGGTCCCGTGGGTTAGATGCGCGTTCATAATGCAGAGGGAAATAACTCTCAGAATAACGTTATTAGCACCTTTTTACAACTTGAGGAACGAATGTTTTTAATAAGGGCTATACAAGTGTTCATACTGGGTTGTTTATTTAGTTTAAAACAAATTATCCAACGAGTTACAGACCACTCTTTCCCAATGTAAGTCAATGGGAAAAAGTGTTTCCGGGCCCAGCAACCTAAAGGAAGTGTAGTACCGCCGTTTGGCCAGCAGGAATATTCTCATCAGACTCCGGCACACTTCCTGGGGGCTTGACTACGACTCACATGTGGGTATAGTGATAGGGAAAGACTTACATTAAAAACACAGGAAGTGTCCTGTGTTTTTAATGTAAGTCTTTCCCATTGGCTGGTACTAACAAAAGAAGAAGAAACAAAAAGTAACTACACCACCTGCTGGCTGGAATAAGACAGCGTCTTAGACAGCACAGCTACTTTAAATGATTGTGGAACATAGCCTGATAATAAAGACATATTCATAATATTTAACCTGTTAAGCCCCAAGCCTTAAAAGCTTTAGGAATCCAAACTACAACATATAAGTACCCTGTATCAATATTGATGCAAAACAAGTGAAACCTTTTTAGAGAGATTTAGCACAAAAAAAACACTTCTGGGGTCATTTGGGTGGATTTGACCTATCTCTGGCCCCCCTTGCTCGATTTTGCTGATTGACATCTCTTTCTAACCGTCAGAGCCAATGGAATCGAGGGGAACTCCCACATACTCCTTATTTGGTAATGTGTGTGTGTGAGACTGCAGCCAAGACCGAAAGCTGCGATAACTCTGTGGGCTACCATTAGCAGCTAACTTTTACTCTTCGATTTTTACATACAAATGGAATTATGGATTATAAATTAAAAAAAGTATCACCCAGAAACATTATCAACCTATGGATTAACCGATTCAGCCACGTTTTTTCTCGTTTTAATGCCATTGAACAAGTATTTTGATCAGATTGACAGCTACGGTGAGACGATCTCCCGTAAAAGCTCCGTAAAGGTACGTGTTGTGATGTCTGTGTTTGCTTCCCCTGTCGCGAGTTCGGATCACTGTGATGATATATATACCTAAATAATCTGTGGAACCTCAGCTTTAACCGGATATCTTGTATGTGCAGCTACGATAAGTAATAAGGGTATCTTTTATCTTGAGTTCTGTGCCAAAGTGCGTTAGCATTTTTCGCTCAGGGGTCATTTAGATGCTTCTTATGAGACTTGTGTTTTGTTTCGTCAGTTAGCTGAGATTAATCTGGTATAACACATTAATAGGTTCTTAAATATTAAGATTCCCTGAGACAGTGTCGTGAAAAAAAAAAAAAAGTACCTGCCGACGGGGACCTTGGGGTTTAACAGGTTAATAAAGAAGTGTTAATTAATGGAAAAACTTCCTTTAACAGCTTAGTTGGAATCGGGTCTAACATGGTTTAGAAGAAAGAATCATTGAATTCAATTGTTCAAGGTTTATGGGTGAAAAGCATTATAATTTACTATCTAGTGTAATATTATAACTTACATTTCTGGGAGCTGTTGATAACACTATACTGGTCAAAGGCAAGAGGTCATTAATTTTGTTTCAAAGAGTAACAATTGTATCATTAAAAAAGCACATACAATCATTACTACTGAGTGCTATGGGAATAGAAGGCTCAATCGAGCTATGGCTCTCTGTCAGCCTGGCTACAGTGCTGAAAAGAAATCTTGCATTATTCTTATTCTCATCTATTAATGAAGAGTAGTAAGCTGCTTTCGCTTTACACAGTGCTTTTTATAATCATTGAGAGTAATATGCCAAATTAAACGAGATTCTTCAAGTTTAGTGGAACGCCATATCCTTTGAAGTTGTCTCTTTTGCTTTATTTTTGCGGGTTTCGGCATTATGCCATGGAGCTAATCTATGTTGTTTTATTTTCTTATTTTTCAAAGGAGTAACAGAGTCTAATTTTGTTTAATACTGTCTCTGTGCTTTTTATCCTTCTTCAGTGACGATCCTTGCCATACTGTGGAGTGGAGCATGTGGTTTGCTGGGCACTTTTTGCATGCAGATAGGTATATGGGTGATTTGCAGTGAGTGTTAATTGAAAGCAGCTACACGTGGTGATATTGGCGTGATTGACTAAACTCACTATCAACACGTCCAGAAGAATGTCATGCAAAGCTGCCTGCCTTCCTTTGATTCTCTCTGAACTGCCTGATCTTTCTAATGTCAACCATTTGTGCAGATAGCATGAAGTAGAACAGATTGCCAGTGCTAATCTAGTGTTAGCGTTAGCATTTCTCCCCCGGGCTTAAATGGTTTATTATAGAATGATCACACCGGTGTGACAGTACTCTTCAAAGGGTTCACAAAATATGACTACTACTCTTACTGTTTAACATTTTGGGTTACTTGATGTTACTTCATGGCTAATACAAATGACAAGGCTAAGACTGTAATGCTAACTAACGTGCTTGCTACTAGCTAGGTAGCTAACTTGATCTAGCCACTGGGCCTTTCATCAGACGGGAAGCGAAAGAACGAGCAAGACCCATTGCTGGTATGATAACAACCTGGTACCAAGCACACAGGCATCTTGTTAAAGTTATCTTATCTTAGCTATCTCTTATATTTAGCGGAGGAAAACAATTGTGACATCAGTTATGACATCACTTACGCGACTCTGGGATTTGTAGTCTTTCTAGTTGCGTATTTTTTATAGTCTTATATTTCAACAGTTTTACGACAAACTGTGACTTTTTTGACATGGAAATGATTTTTTAAGATTGACAAACATCATATGTAATTCGTGGCACAATTTAAACGGGATCGAAAGATAACTTTTCTCTCTCCATTGACTTCAATACATAATTTTTCCAAAATAAGGTCCCATGGACCGGAAAATTGTTTTACCATGTTCAATCTGAATTTACTTTCAAATAAAAAATGCTATATTGATTCTGATTTTTCTACATCCAACTCACAGGTTTATCATTACTTTGAGAAAAAAGATTATTAATTTACCCCTTTTTAGAAGTGAAGTTATAGTCATTTGTTCTGGGAATGTCATTTTCGAGCCCGAGACCTGAAAAATAGGCTTAACATGTTAAAGCTGAATTAATAGATTTTGTTTTCTCAACACATTGGGTCAACAAAATGAAGCTGAAAACACTACACTGATATATTATACCTAAATAAGTTGCTGTAGTGAACATGTCGGCAAACACTTCCAACAAACAAAGAGCCAAACTATCAGTCATTTGGAATTGTGTTTCTCAAATGCAAACGGATGTAAGTCCAATATTTATTCTCCTTTACGCTCAATTTTGTTCTCCACCAACTCCTGGGAAACATATCCGTCTCAAAAGCTTCCGAAATTCTCCAGGATAAGCAATTCGCTTTTTAAGCGACGGGGATTTTGTGGATTTGTTTCACATATTATGTATAGTTGAGACTAGCAACGCCCTGTGGATGTTATTCTCTGATGTGTTGTAGCTGGACTCATAGGCTGCAACATGGATGGGCGAACAGCTTAACAAAACTAAAACAAGAGTGAACGTCAGTCATCAGTAATGTGTGCGTGTATGGGTGTGTGAAAATGTGCAACAGACAGAACAGTAGCTGTGTCCTTAAGAAGATTCAGTCACCCAGTTGGATGGTGGTGGTCTTTATAGCTTAGCTGGTGGGGCTCATAAAGGTTGATAATCTGGATCACATGTAACAGATAACAGAGAGCCAACACATAGTGGACCCCTACTGGATTGGTCGTAACAGTTGTACTATATATTCATCTTTTTCACCATGAACACCAACTGGAGGCTTCTCCTCCAATTTCTACAGTTACATAACCTTAACCCTAACCCTAGTGTTACTTAAAAGGTCTTTGAGGTCAGACAGTTCAAATCAGTTGAGACTGACTTTGGGCACTGATTCAATTATGTTTTTAGCACCGTTCCTGATGGTTGTGAATAAAGTTAGTCTGAAATCCTTGCAAGAGAGACCCAATAAGCAAAATGTTGTGCCCCTGTGCATAATCTCTAACGGATGGCCCGTTGAAAAGAAAGGCACATTTAAGTTCTATTCTGGTAGCTTCTTACTTTTTCGTCAGTGCTAGGAAGGTACCATGTAGACGGTTTATGACACTTTTACTGCTTAGAACAGCTGCATGCTGCTGCTATACATAAGTGTGATGGGAGAGCAGTGTGCTGTCCAGAAGCA